CGGGGCCAATGCTTGTCCACGGTCCTGTCTTCATTCCCCTCAAAACTCCCAGCTCTCAGTCCCCACCCAAGTCCCCCGGCCCCCCACCCCCCGCAACAAGCTTCCAGGCCTCCTAAGCCTGGGGTTCGCTGCCCACCAAGGGAGATAGCTACCTGTCTGGGGCTCAGGGGAGCAAGACCCCGGGGCAGGCTCATACATTCCAGCTTGCCCCCCCCCCGCCCCGACTCCTATGCCCTCAGGATGCTCCTGGGGGTGGACATCAGCCTCATGGTCCCTGAGGTGGAGCTGGGCCTGGCCAGTTCCCTGGGGAGACGGGTGGGGTGCTCTCTCTCCCTACAGTGGAGACACAGAGAGGGGAAGAAAGTATGCCATGCACCCCTCCTTCCGGGGCGGGTGAGGCCGCCCACAAAGGCTGACTGCGGGTCCTTTGAGGCCGTGAACGACTGTCTGCCTGCTGCCCCTGCCTGGCGGTAAGGCACCCTCCCACTGGGACCATGGCCACAAGTAAACAGAGCCTTCATTTGTGGATGTCGCCAACAGCTGCAGGCCGGGGCAGGCGAGCCAGGCGCCCAGCACTCCCACGGCCCCTGCCCAGGCTTCCCTGCACTTCTGGCCCTTTCTGCACCCCTCCTGGCCACAGACCTCCACTGGGCCCAGGCCACTGGGGCTGGCCCTCCTGCCCCAGGCAGGCCCACCTCTCCACACTGTGGCAGGAACACCCTGGCTCAGGGTGGGGGTCTGCAGGGCCTCCCCCAACCAGCCCTGTACAGCACCGTGTTCCTTGGGCTCACACCCAAGGGCCGCAGGGAGACTTCCACAGTCTTCTTCTCAGTGTCCATCTCCCTGAGGCCATGGGAGGGTCAAGATGGACAACCTGGTGTCTCAGAGGTCTGGGGCTCACACCTGGGCAGAACGTGGGCATCTCAGGCCACACAGCTTGGGGTAGGGGGGTGAGCAGAGAAGGCTCTGACAAACACGTCACTGACTCACTAGGGGAAACATCCGAGCTTCTCCCTTTCTCACCCGATTGATTTGTGGATTTATGACTGCCGCAGAGCCTGGGCCTTGCCGGCTGCTGCTTGGGCAGCTGAGCTACTCTGTAGGGCACAGCGAGGAAACCAGGATGCCTGTGCACAAGCTGAGCGGGGAAGACCTGCGGGCCACAGCCGCTGAGCCCACCTCCCCGCACAGGTATGTGGGGGAGGGGCCGGCTCTCTAAGGCCCTGCTGCGCGGACTGGCACGCGGACGGACGTGCTGACTCACCGTCCGGGCCAGGACTGCAACCGGGCAGCGGCGCAGCCGCAGACCACTCTCCAAGGGATGAAAATGCCAATCTCTACACCAGCATGCTGCTTGCCCCAACAATCTCATCGAGATTCCCCTGGGGCCGTTGCATCCCATCCTATGTTTTAAGACCGCGTGTGTGCCCTAGTACCACAGCGTAGAGTACTGTACGGTACTAGCTGAAGAGCGCGCCTTCTTTTCAGGGAGAAATAGGTAGCCAGGTATTGCCCCCAGCACCCATGGGGTAAAAAGCTCACTGAGAAAACCAGAATCTAGAGAGGCTCCAGTGGCCACAGCAGGGGACACCGTTCAAGGCAGACGCAGGGGCGTGACTTAGTCGTGTTAAAAAGATTATAAAAACATACCGAAGTGCAATTTTTTAAAAGCGATTGATGGAAGGTGCGACCGCACGTCATTTAACTGTTTTTCCCTCGTAGACTTTCCCCCTCCGAACGTCAGGGAAAAGTAAAAGCATCTGTCAGCGCAGGTATGGCTGGGGTAGCAGGGACAGGGAGCGCGGACGGAGGGCGGGGGCCCGCCGCGTCGCCACGCAGCTCTGTGCGCTGCTGGGGCCGAGGCACCAGGCGACCGGCGCGCGGCCAGCACCGTCTCCACAACAAGTGCGCGGCAGCCGGGCGGGCCCCCGCCCTCCCCGGGGGCAGCGGCCCCACGTGCTCCCTCACCTGACCGCCAGCCGGGCGGGCGTGCGGAACCCCCGCCCCCCTCCTCCGCGCCGAGGCCACGCGGGGTGGGCCCGACCCCTCGTTTCGCTGCCCTGGGTCCCCGGCAGCCGACCCGCGGAAGGCGCTCGGCGGGCCGGACGCACGGCCGGCCGCCCGGGCCCGCGCGCTCGCCCCCCGGGGCTGCAGTCTCCAGCTCGCGTGCGCGCCCGGCCCGCAAGCGCACAGCTCCGCGCCGCCGCCCCACCTGCATTTCTCCGGGCGCGGACCCGGGGCCTGCGCTCCCCCCGCCCCCGGCCCGGCCCGGCCCCGCCCGCTGGCCCTCCCCGGGAGGCCCGCCCCGCCCGCGCGCGTCCCCGCGGCACTGCGGCGGTTACCAGGACGCCGGCCTCCGGGCGGCGTGCTCTCCGAAGCCGGCCAATGAGGGGGCAAATCAATCATTTGAAACATCCAATGGACAGAGCACTGCAGCGCGAGGGAGGGGGTTTTGATAGGGAGAGCGGAGGCCGAGGCGGACCAATAAAGAGCGAACGGCGTTGGGAAGGTGGGCGTTAGGCGGCCGGATTGACGGGAAACGCAGCCAGTCAAACCAGGACGCTTGCCAGCCTCGTTCTGGCAGCCCAATAGGAGGCTGGCGGGGGCGGGCGCGGCGGCTATATAAGCGTTGGCGGAGCGTCGGTTGTAGCACTCTGCGCGCCCGTTCCTCCGCTCTTGCGTCCGTCCTTCCGCCAGCGCCGCCGCCGCTGCCGCCGCCGCCGCCGCCGCCATGAGGGAGATCGTGCACCTGCAGGCCGGCCAGTGCGGCAACCAGATCGGCGCCAAGGTGAGCAGTGGGGCGCCTGGGGCCCGGCGCGGGTGTCCCGGGCGGACGGGCGGGCAGCAGAAAAGATGGCGGCAGCGGGCGGGTGGGCGAGCGGCCACCCGCATTGCGGCCCGGCACGGGGTCGGAGCCGGGGCGGCGCGGGCCTCCGGGGACGGACCTGACCTGGCGGCGGCGGCGGCGGCGGCGGCGGCGGCGTGGGGGGAGGGGAGGGCCGCGCCCATCCGGGGCGGGGCCGGCTCCGGGCCCCGCCGGCGTGACTCAGCCCGAGCCCGGCCCGCCCGCGTCCCTCGCAGTTCTGGGAGGTGATCAGCGACGAGCATGGCATTGATCCTACCGGCACTTACCATGGCGACAGCGACTTGCAGCTGGAGCGGATCAACGTGTACTACAACGAGGCCACCGGTGAGACACCACGCCCCTTCCCCAACTCCTTCCTGCCTTCCCGCGGCCCTCTTCTCGCTGACGTCCTTTTCCTCCCTCCCCCCAACCCGCCCCAGGTGGCAAGTACGTGCCGCGCGCTGTGCTCGTGGACCTGGAGCCGGGCACCATGGACTCCGTGCGCTCGGGACCCTTCGGGCAAATCTTCAGGCCCGACAACTTCGTTTTCGGTGAGCCGCGGCATAGGGGCTGGGCGGCGGCCTGATGGCCAGGATGGCTCGAAGGTCGGGGGGTGCCCAAGGTCATTGGCGGCAGCACCGAAGAGCTGAGGTCCTGATCCACCCCCCACACCTCCTCTTCCTGGAGTCTCTCAATCTCCTAAAGCGGCTTTGGGAGGAAGGCCCAGCTGTCCACCCGCAGGGAAGGAACCGGCAGATGTAATCTTTCTGCTACAAACATTGAGTTGGAGGCAGGGGGAGCTGTGCTTGCAGTTCATCTGTCCTTGAGAATTGGCAGGGGCTGCTGCCTGTGGGAGGGCATGGCTTACTGTTGAGCCATCTTGGCTTGACTCCTAACTTAGTTTTTAAACGGGTGGGTTACTGCTTTATCAGTCTGGGAGTCCATTTGCTCTACCTGCAGGCTGAGCTCTGTGTGTCCCCTCCCCCCGCATTATTTGGGCTTTTTGGCACGGGTGACCAGTGGTGACCACATGCCCAGCAAAGAGTGACTGGCTGCCCTCTTCCAGGTCAGAGCGGTGCTGGGAACAACTGGGCCAAGGGGCACTACACAGAAGGCGCGGAGTTGGTCGACTCAGTGTTGGATGTTGTGAGGAAGGAAGCTGAAAGCTGTGACTGCCTGCAGGGCTTCCAGCTGACCCACTCCCTGGGTGGGGGCACTGGGTCCGGGATGGGTACCCTCCTCATCAGCAAGATTCGGGAGGAGTACCCAGACAGGATCATGAACACGTTCAGTGTGGTGCCCTCGCCCAAGGTGTCGGACACGGTGGTGGAGCCCTATAATGCCACTCTCTCGGTCCACCAGCTCGTAGAAAACACAGATGAGACCTATTGCATTGATAACGAGGCCCTCTATGACATCTGCTTCAGAACCCTAAAACTGACCACACCTACCTATGGAGATCTCAACCACTTGGTGTCAGCCACCATGAGTGGGGTCACCACCTGCCTGCGCTTCCCTGGCCAGCTCAATGCTGACCTGCGCAAGCTGGCTGTCAACATGGTCCCCTTCCCTCGCCTGCACTTCTTCATGCCCGGCTTCGCCCCACTGACCAGCCGAGGCAGCCAACAGTACCGGGCCCTGACGGTGCCTGAGCTCACCCAGCAGATGTTTGATGCGAAGAACATGATGGCCGCCTGCGACCCACGCCATGGCCGCTACCTGACCGTGGCCGCAGTATTCAGGGGCCGCATGTCCATGAAGGAGGTGGACGAGCAGATGCTGAACGTGCAGAACAAGAACAGCAGCTACTTCGTGGAGTGGATCCCCAACAATGTGAAGACGGCTGTGTGTGACATCCCACCCCGGGGGCTAAAAATGTCTGCCACCTTCATCGGCAACAGCACGGCCATCCAGGAGCTGTTCAAGCGCATCTCAGAGCAGTTCACCGCCATGTTCCGGCGCAAGGCCTTCCTGCACTGGTACACGGGCGAGGGCATGGACGAGATGGAGTTCACCGAGGCCGAGAGCAACATGAACGACCTGGTGTCCGAGTACCAGCAGTACCAGGACGCCACGGCCGAGGAGGAGGGCGAGTTTGAGGAGGAGGCCGAGGAGGAGGTGGCCTAGAGCTGTTACCTGGTAAAGCGCGCAGAAGCTGTGTGAACTCTTTATTCACTCACAACCTGTTCTCTGTGTGCACTTGCTTTCCTTCCTGTCTTGACGTCACATGCTGTACAGACGCCACCATTAAAGCATTTTCATAGTGTCTGGTGTCGTCTTTGCAGTTCCTTTTGATATGCTTTGCGGGTACTGTTGCCAAACGTCAGCGCATAGTTGTCCTGCGTGGCTACAGGGACAGTGCTGCAGCTGAGTCCCTGGCATTGCCACATGCCCAGCTGGCGGTCAGTATTGGAGGGTCTGGGCTGCCCTGGGCACCTGCCTCCTGCCCGGCCTGGCCTATCCGCAGTGAACTTCTGGAGGGCCAGTCACCCAACTCCTCCATAGAGTGGTCTGGTCACTGCGCCCTTGTCTAGGAGGTAGGTGAGGGGACCCACTGGGTACGGTACGTACATGGTATGAACCCCATGTAGAAAGGTATCAGGCCCTGGCTGTTGTAGATGGTGTTGCTAGGCCAGTGTGTTTTGGGCAGCCTCTCACCCAGGGCACAGATGGGGTTTCTGAAGAGGAACTGTGGAAAGAGGCAGGTATTGACATGTGCTACCTTCCTCAGCTCAGCCAGTAAGTAGTAGGTCGTGGTGGGGGCTGGGGTCTGAGCGAGAAGCAGGACTAGGGCAGGAAGGGTAGGAGCCCTGTTCCGTGTCGCCTGGCCCAGCGATTCCCCTAGAACCACTGTGAAAAGTTGGGCCTGACTCCTTCCAGGGGTCTCCTCTGTTTTCACCGCTCCCCACAGCACTCCCGAGCAGGGAGCCTAGACCCAGTCAGGAGAACAGACGGGTTCCTCCCGGGGCCTCTAAGGAAGGCTGCCCTTCACAGCCCCCTCCAGGGAAGCCAGCTGAACCTTGGCCATGCTGGTGCCTGCCCAGAGGTGTGGATGCCACTCTGCGGGCCGTGCTGGGCATTTGGGAGCAGGCCCAGGGGTGGCGTCCTTGTACCTGGTTTTTGTCAAACTCATCCATAGCCTGTGTGACACCGTCGCGGTAATTCACCCCCATCACCCAGGCAAACCGAGGGACAAAGCCAGCGTAGCCTAGGGGAGGAAGTGGTCAGGGTCCTGCCCCAGGTCCTGTCCACCTTCCCCTGGGCATACCCCCCTGCTCCCAGGTGTGTCAGGGCAGTCTGTTCGGGCTCTTCCCCTTCCCTAGACGTTTGTCAATTGCCTGTTGGGGCTAGGGGCCTGTGGGTGGGCAGGAGCTCCGGGAGAAGACGGGTTCTAGGAAACAGTTCTCGGGGCAGGGCTGGGGATAGACCCACGGGCAGTTCTCACTTGTTATCACTCATCCTGTCTGGGTCCCTGGAGCCTTGGAGTGCGTGTGGGGAGTGAGTGAGCTCATACCTACGCCCTGGGCACCCACCTGAGATGGCTTTGCGTTGGATCAGGTTGGGGTGGTCGAGCTGGGGCAGCCTGTGGAACCTGCCCACATCTAGTGTCTCCTGCTGCTGAGCTGGGGGTGGGTATTCATCCCTCCTGCAATGGTACAGCTGGGGTGGGAGAGGAGCAAGTCACTGCCTCAGCCCCTACTTGGGTCTGGCTGGGCTGAGGCTTGGTCCCAGCACCTCTCCTAGTTACCTGGTCCCGCCCAGGGGCCTCACGGACGGGGGTGGTGCTCCTCCAGCCCTCCTCCCCATATGCCAGCCGCAGGCCTGGGTGTCCGAAGTCTCTGGAGTCCCCCTTCCTGCCTGGTGGGCACGGGGGGTAGGGAGGGTAGGGCATGAAGCCCACAGGCAGCAGGACCTGCCTGGATACATTCTCTACCCCCGGCCGCCCGCTTTGGGCATCCACTTTCCGGGGTGGGAACTGGCCCAGGATCTCAAAGTTCTTGTAGGGCTTCAGACCTGTACGGACAGGGTGGGTATGAGTGACAACAGCAGGAGGGTGAGCCTGGGGCAGGCAAGGCTGGTGGGCGGGCGGCTCACCCGTGTAGTGGGGGACGTAGGGCTCAGTCAGGTCACGGTGGGGGATCGGAGGTGGCTTGGACTTGCTGAAGTCCTCGATGAACTTGGGCTTGGATATGGGGGACAGCACAGAGCAGGGGCTCTTCTGCACGCTGGGGTCTGTGAGCAGCTGTGCTGTGGTGCGCCCATAGGTGTCCCCCACCTGGTAGCGCAGCTGCGGATAGAATCCGGCATAGCTGCAGAGGGAAGTGGAGGCAGGGCCCCTGTGCGCAGGGCGTGGAGCCGGGCCACAGGCAAGGTACCTGCCCTCACCTGCAGATGCCAGTCCCAGGAGCACCTGCCTTCTGAGGCTCTTGAGGCTTGAATGGGCGGCTCAGGCCAGGTGCCGGGAACAGGCCTGGCCCACAGGTGAGTTGCACGGTCCTCACCACCAGGTCACCGTCTGCTCTCTACCCAGCCATCCTCAGCCATGGAGCTCCAGGATGAGGGAACAGGGAACTGCCCCCTTGAAGCATTCACAGGGATGGTGACAGGGTCCGGGCCTGGACCCAGGCACCGCCCAATCTATACAAGGTGGTCCCGCTGGGGAGGCCTTGCAGGGATTTGGCCTGGACCTTGGCCACCCGCGAGGCCAGGACTTGAGAGGCAGGCAAGAGTGCTGCTGGTAGGAGGTGGCTGAGCTGAGTGTCGTTTAGAGAGACAAGGGGAAGTAGTGTAGGCCTCACCGCAGGCCCCAAGTGGGGGTAGTGCTGGGGCCGGAATGATCACCCAAGCGGTGAGAATTGTTTTCTTTTGAAAAAACTGCCAAAGCGAATGCAGAATTGCTAGTGTGAGCGAGAAGCAGGACTAGGGCAGGAAGGGTAGGAGCCCTGTTCCGTGTCGCCTGGCCCAGCGTTTCCCCCAGAACCACTGTGAAAAGTTGGGCCTGACTCCTTCCAGCCTGCCTGCCTTCCCAGGGATCCGTGTGCACATAGGTGCACACATACACTCCACAGAGGGCTCGCTTTTAGTTTTTACGTCAGGGGTACCTAGCGAGGCAGCCTGGCGTCCCTGCCAATCAGCCTACTCTGGAGGCTAAAGTCTTTAAGACACGCAGCCCTCTCTGGGGCATCCAGGGTTTACCTAGCCAGCCTTGGGCAGCTGTTGGGCTGTCTCCCGTGTCCTGCTCTTCACAGGCATGTTGGCCGTCTGGTGGGGCTCTCAGCACAGGCCGAGCAGGGAGTGCTCCTGCCCTCAGGCCTCTCCAGGGCCCTCAGGCCTCACCCCCACTCCCTGGAGACCAGCTCTGGTGCTCTCTTCACGGGTGGCCTTGAGCCCTTAGGCCCAGCCCCACTGCGCCATCCTCCACCGAGCCCAGCCTCCTCCAGGGCTCCAGCACTTACCCAGGGATATAGTGAGGTTCTGGCGTGAAGAGGTTGTGTTTCTGAGTAGCTGTCATCTGGCCTCAACAGCACCTTTGGTGGCCCCAGCCCCTTCCAGCGTCTGCCTCCCTCCCCTCAGAGGAGTCCCAGTTGCCTGGAAACCATTGTGAAGGGGCCTGCCATTGTTGGGCCCTACCTGGCCCAGGACCCCTCCTTAACCCTGTGAGTGCTTCCATGTTACAGGTGGAACTCCTAGGCCCAGACAGGCAACAGGCTAGGAGAGTCAGCCCCTCTGGGAATCGGGACAGCCGCGTTGGCCCTGCCAGACTTGCTGCCCCCAGTGGCCAACTGAAAAGTAGCTTTCCCACCAAGCCCCCTCCTCAGACCAGAGGCCCTCGAAGCTTCTCGGGCATTGTGGGAGGCCTCCTCCGGGAGGTGTCTGAGCTTCAGGGCTGTTGGGACTCTGTCCTGGAGAGTCTTTCCCCTGGAACTGCGCACCATTTGCCATTTTAAATAATCCCTGATTTTTTTTTTTTTTTTTTTTTGTATAGGAATGACTTCCTAACTATAAAAGCAAAGGAAAGTATCAAAGGAAAAGATGAGCAGATTCTAGTACATGTCAAACACACACACACAAATACTAAAAGGCAGACTACAAGCTGGGGAAAAAAAATATCGCAACAAGTGGTATGAAGAGATATACTATCAGTGTAAAAACTTCACAAAAACAAGAAAAAGTAGCTCTATGGCAGGAAAATGTAATGTGAACATCTCAAGAGAACCCACAGTCAGGGGACACACAGACAAGGTTGAACCTCACGGAGGTGGTTGGTGCTGGCCCAGCAAGGCCACAGGCACGGGGTCCGGAAAGCAGTTGGGGGACACCGGACATTACCTACTTGGACGGGCCGCTTCTGCTCACAGGCTCCCGTCTGAAGGAAGCGACGGGCATCCAGCTGAGGACATCTGTGGGATGTCAGCCATCGTAGTAGTATCTGACACAGGGAGAAATTGGGGCTATCTCACATGTCCAGTGACGGGGGCTTTGTTACGAAAGCTGCACCTGCAGAACACCATGCAACAAGGGAGGGGCCCAGAGCACAGGCCGAGAGCCCCTCACCCTAATGAAACACGTGTTTCCTGAAGCAGGTTTCTATCTGTCCCTCCTTCCATCCATCCGGAGTGCCTCCCCAGGCCAGGCAGGGTCAGTGTTGGATGGGAGAGATCTGCAGAGAAAGAGACTTGGTCGGAGTGGGGTAGGCCTGGAGGCTGAGCTGTTCTTGACTGGGCCCTGCTTGCATGGATTAGGTCAAGACCAGGGCTAGGGCTGGCAGGCTGGCCGGTTGCAAAGGGCACAGCAAGGGCCCTGGTGCCCAGGCGGGCTCTCCCTCATTTGGGCTCATTATTCCTTCACTCTTCAGCCCGGGCTGCCCCATTCGTCTGGGACACCTTACAGCCTCTGTGCGACTAAGCAGAAGACGGGCCCCCTGCCTGGGTCACCAGGCAGCTCCAGTCCCCAGCCTGCCTCTGTGGTCAGCATGGTCCACCCAGACCCACTTTCCACTGCTTTGCTTTTCTGAGGGCTGGGTTTCCAGCAGGAGCTCCTCCTCCAGGGAGTTCCCCTGGATCCCTCCACCCTCCCCCTTCATTCTGGATGGCCTGGTACAGCTGGGCAGCCCATAGCAGCTGCTCCTCTCATCCCTGTGCAGAGGCCCCAGTCCTCCCAGAAGCCCTGCTAAGGTGGACCCTGGCCGTCCAAGAGACCCCAGATCCTAGGAGAGGAGAGGGCTTGGGATAAGGAAGGGGAGAAGAGAGAAAAGGAGGCCAAGCCAGAAGTTGCTGGGGCAGGCTAGGGGTCCTCCTGGCCCAGGCTGACGCCAGAGTGACCCACCTGGCTGGCCAGGGCAGGGGTCTCTCTGAGGGGCCCACTGTAGCAGCCCCTCCGGGGCTGGACAATGCTCCTTCCCCAGGGAGTCCCTGGCAACTGAGGCAGGGGGTGTCCATGGCTGGCTAATGAGGTCACAGAGCCCCAAGGTGTCCCTGGGGAAGGGAGCCAGATACTTTGACAATGAATTTTGACCAGAAAACTGTGAAATTCCTGGCGAATTTTTACATCAGTGGAGGCCAACACTGGACCCATGGCTCCCCGAGGCAGAAGCCACTTGAGCCAGCCCAGTAAATTCTCAGGGAGCTGGGTGCGCAGATGGGGTGGCCATTGGGCTGGGTGGACAGCGCTCCCCCCTCTCCCTTGTAGGCCCAAGGGTAGTGTGTTCTTGTGGGGCCCCCAGCCAGAGACCGACTGGAAGGAGACGCCGCCCCCAGGAGTGCAGGAGTTCCAAGCTGGCCTCAGGATGCAAACGGGCTCCCTCCAGGAGCGCCCCCCTATCTGCACCCAGAACCTGAGGGAGCTGTGTGAGTAAGGGTCCTGGCTGCCCCCCACCTCGGTCTGGTTTGGGGAGGCAGGCAGGGGTGGGAGGCGTCTGCTGAGTCCCCACACCAGAGCTTGCTTCCTGCCAGGGCTGGAACGACGCCCACCCATCGTGATCGACCTGCAGATCCCCGGCCCCGCCAAGTACCCGGTGCCGGATGCTTCAGTGCGCGAGTCCTCCCCACATCCCCAATTCAGCATCGGCCGCAGGTTCCCCACCCGCGGTGCGGGCCCCCTCCCTGCGCCCCGCCCCCTGCCCTGGGAGTGGGGCTCCGGCCACCAGCCTTCCTTCCCTCCCCAACCACGCTGCTGCTACTGCAGACGGCGGTGGCCGCAGGGCGTGGCAGGTCTTGTGGTTCCAAAGCGAAAGCCCCTTCACGCAGAAGGCCGACTTTAACCAAGAGCAAAAGGTGGAGGGCCCGCCTAGCTAGTCCTGAGGAGGCGGGCTGGAGGAGGGGCCAGGGAGGGGCGGGGCCCGTGGAGGGGCGGGCTGGAGGAGGGGCCAGGGAGGGGCGGGGCCCGTGGAGGGGCGGGCTGGAGGAGGGGCCAGGGAGGGGCGGGGCCCGTGGAGGGGGCGGGCTGGAGGAGGGGGCGAGGGAGGGCGGGCTGGAGGCGGGGGCCGAGGGGCGGAGCCTGTCGGGGCGGGAGGGGCCTGCAGCAGCCTCTTTCCCTGTAGTGGCCGTCGCCCGCGGACTATCAGCCACTCAGCCGGCCTGCCTTCCGGGCCTTCAGCTTTGGGGGCCGCCGCCCCGCCTCCAAGAGACTTGAGGCCCCCGCCCGCCCGGGGCTGCCGCGGGCCGGGGGTGCGGGTTACCGTACCCAGCCCCAGCTTCAGGCCCCTCCGCAGGCCCCGGGGGGCGAGAAGCTCCCCAGCCCCAACACCTACAACATCTTGCCTGGGTGCCGCCTGCAGAGCCCCCGTCCGCCCGCCTTCTCCATGAGCCGCTCCCCTGCGTTCGCCTCCTGGGTCAGCTCCTGTAAGGAGAGCTCTGAGAGAGGAGGCCAGGCCGCGCGCAGGGGTGGGGACTCAGCCTGTGGGGAGCTGGGCGCTGTGTGGCAGCTGGCGCTGTAGCCTAGGTGGGGCTCCCACCTTCTCCCTGCAGCCCGCAGTCCCGGCCCAGCCGCCTACTACGTGGAGGATTGCTATAACTCGCGCTTCCCCTCGGCGCCTGGAGTGGTGATCCAGGGTGTCCGAAGACCCAAGCGCCATGACACCGGGCCCTTCTGCGCCCTGTAGTGCCTCCTCCGCACAGCCGGCCACCCGATTATCCATGGAACCCTGGTCTCCCTGGGGGCTTTCCCAGGCCTCCCTGGGGAACTAAGGGCCTCCAACTCGGCCTTTTGACTCTCTGGGTGCCTCTGATCCACGCTCTTGGCCGGCCAACCCCTCTGTGAGCCGTGGACATCAAGGAGGGCCCAGCCTGAAGTCCATCTGCCCCCCACCCTTGCCATACAGAGATGCTGTGGGTTCTTCCCAACTCTGTTGTGTGCCTGACTGGTGAGCTGTCCCTCAGATGTGGCCTGCTGCCCACCTGTCATGTTTGGCTTTCCTTGGCCAGGGGTCTTCCTCTGCTTCCCCTTTGGTGCCCTCTTCTCTAGGGTGGGTGGGGTAGCAGCCTGGGACCTCCTGGCTGGGGACACGATGGGAGGGGGCCCTGTGGGCAATACAGGACACCCCCACCTAGTTGTGCTACCAGAGGAGTGGTCAAGCTGCCAGTCTACCCAAGGGTCAGCTGCCCTCTTGAGGTGAGGTCAGCTTGCCCAGCCACCAGGGAGGGCCCAGAGGACCAGCTGGTCAGGGCCTGGCCCCAATTCTTTGGCTCCTGCCCAAAGACCCTGTGAACTTGCCCAGCACCGTGCAGGCCATGCCACAGCCAAAGACTTCCTGGGCCTTCACTTGTTAGGGTGCCCACAGCAGCAACCCGCCTTTCTACCCAGGGTTTGTCCCCAAGACTGCCTCCCTCCCAAGGGCCTCACCTGCAGCTGGTGGAGGCTCCTGTCACCGTGTCAGTTCTTGCAGAGGCCCTTCTTGTGCCACCCGTGTCCTGAGCCAGAGCTTGACCCCTCCAAAAAGGCACTGCAACAGCTGCTGTGGTGTGGACAGCAGTCCATTCTGCAGGGAGGCCAAAGCCCAGGGAGTCTGAGTGCAGTGCACCTGTGACCTCCTCTAGGGCTCAGCCACTGGGGGTTGAGCCCCAACACCCCTGAGAATCAGAGCAGTGGCATGGCAGATGGCTGTCCTTAGGCCCCGGGCTGACCAGCTCAGCCAGCAGGCAACAGAGACAGAGCTGTGGAAGGTCTGGCCTATGGAGCTTGGCTCGGGGGGAAGGGGGTGGAAAGCAACCCCTAGGGCTCAAAGTCAGGAGGGGGACCAGCAGGAAGGATGGAGCAATGCCCTCCAGCTGGGCTGAAGAGGGAGGGCTTTCTGGAGGAGGCAGTGGCGGAAGTGACTTTTAAAGATGATCAAGAGTTTGCTGGGCAGTAGGAAGGGAATTTCTAGCAGGATAAACCTCAGAAACCATGGCACACAAAAAGGGAGAGGGTGTGATGTTTGGTGTGTCCAAACTTGGGAGGATACAGGGCTGTTTGGATGGAAGGAGGTGAGCTGGTGAGGTGAGAGGCTGCAGAGGGCTGAATGCTGGGTTCAGGGGCTTGCACACTTTGCAGTGAGGAGCCCATGGAGGGTGCGCACCAGGCAGTGTCCACTGACTTTGTATGAGCTTCTTGCACTGCAAGGGACAAGGGACACCATGAAACCTGAGCCTTGCGTTCACAGTGTGTCAGGACGGACAAGTCAGCCTGAGGGCCTACCACCTTGGGTTAGCTTGGGGGTTAGATGCTCACGGTGATGAGAGCGAGGATACCTGTCCTTGGTCACGATCCCACTTCGTCCCCCAGGTCTCTGCTAGGTCTCTGCTAGGCACCTGGAAGCACACTTAGAGTTTAGTCTTTGCAACAAGCTTACGCGGTGAGCTTCATCCCCGCCTCCGTTTGACAAGGAGGGAGCCAAGTCCCAGGGAGAGAGAGGTTCGTGCGCCCGGTGAGGCCCAGGGGCAGGGAGCAGCTAGGGCGGACTGCTCCTTTTCTTGAAGCGAAAATACTCTCAGCGTCAAAAGTCAGCCACAGGATTTTTCATGATTATAAAAATAAAGTGTACTAAATATCAGTTCTGAAATTCGTAAGCAGGCCGACCCCCGCCGGCAGCACCCCTTCCCCGGTCGCCCCACGCGCAGGTGCGCCGCAGCACCCCGCCCTGCCCGCAGAGGGGCAGCGCACGCCACGGGGCCGGGCCGGAGACGCGGCCGCGGAGGAGCCGCGGGTTGGAGCCTCGGGGGCGGGCCGCGGCTCAGGTGGGCGGGGTGCTCGTCCACAGCCCGCGCGACACCGGGACACAGCCCGCGCCCGCGTCGGGTCAGCCAGGCGCCGGGCGCCGCGCCTCTCCCAGGAACCTCTGCGCGGCGGCGGCGTTTCCGGGGGACCGCTTGGCGGGCGGACCCGGCCTTGCAGGACGGAAGTGGGCGGCTGCGGTCCAGGCGGAGCCGCGCTGCGGGCGGGACCTGGCCGAGCTGGAGGGTGCCGGCGAGCGGAGCTCGGGCGGCCTCCGAGGCCCGAGCGAGCGGACTCCGGGGGGCCCTGCGGCGGCCGCCGCGGCGCCGGCGGAGCGCGGCGGGGATGGGGCGCCGAGCCGGGCGGGGGCCGCGGCCTCGGCCATGTTCGCGGGGCTGCAGGACCTGGGCGTGGCCAACGGCGAGGACCTGAAGGAGACGCTGACCAACTGCACGGAGCCGCTCAAGGCCATCGAGCAGTTTCAGGTGGGGCCCGGCGGGCAGCGGCGTCTGTTCCCGGCGAAGGAACCGGGGCCCCCGCAGACGGACTCCGGCTGCGCTATGGCCCGGCTGCCGGGAACACCCTCGCGCCTGCCTCGCCGTGCTGCGGGCCCCCGGGGTGCTGGCCAGGCGCGGCTGCGACCGAGCCGTCTGTGCTCGCCCCCCGCCCCAGGAAGCAAAGCCGAGCCCCGCGCACACGGGCCCTCTGTTTCCGCAGACGGAGAACGGCGTGCTGCTGCCCTCCCTGCAGTCCGCCCTGCCCTTCTTGGACCTGCACGGGACGCCGCGGCTGGAGTTCCACCAGTCGGTGTTCGACGAGCTCCGGGACAAGCTGCTGGAGCGCGTGTCGGCCATCGCCTCAGAGGGGAAGGCGGAGGAGAGGTAGGTGGGCCGCCGACCCCGTGGCCACACTCCCGCCCGTGGAGACCCGTCCCCTGGTGTGGCAGCTGTTTGGGACCAGTAGACAGCTGCTTCCCACTGGGGCCTGTGGTGCTGCCTCAGAAAGGGAGTCTTTCCAGGTACAAGAAACTGGAAGACCTCCTGGAGAAGAGCTTTTCTCTGGTGAAGATGCCGTCCCTGCAGCCGGTGGTAATGTGCGTCATGAAACACTTGCCCAAGGTAAAAACCACCGGCCAACGAGCTCGGCTCGCTCTGCCCAGCGCCCTCACTTGGGGAGGTGGAGCTTGCCCTGGCTCCGGGTGGCAGCTCTGCACTTGGGGAGGCTTCCTGAGCTGTCTGTCTGCCCAGACGAGGGGCAC